CAGTCGCCTAACCAACTGAGCCACCCAGGCGCCCCTTTTGTGTTTTTTCTAAGATTTGTAACAAAAATATAGCTTGTCCTATATTTGTACAAACTTACTTACGAAAATATTCTTTGGGCAAGTAAGAATAGTTTACTTTTTAAAAGGGTGTACATATATAAGTTGACCTATATTTTTATTTTTTTTTTAAGATTTTATTTATTTATTTGACAGGGAGAGAAAGACAGCCAGAGAGGGAACACAAGCAGGGGGAGTGGGATAGGGAGAAGCAGGCTTCCCGCAGAGCAGGGAGCCCGATGTGGGGCTCGATCCCAGGACCCTGGGATCATGACCTGAGCTAAAGGCAGATGCCTAACGACTGAGCCACCCAGGTGCCCCTGTACCTATATTTTTAATTTGGAGTCTAGATATTCATGGAAGTGATTTCTCAATTCTGTATTTCACTTCTTCCCTCCTTATCAAAAATCTGAGTAAATTTTTTTAAAAAGTTCTAATTAATAATGACATGGAGCTGAAGTAGTTTGTACTATATTATAATGAGAACAGTTTTCTTAGGTTCCTTATAGTGTGGCTAAAATCAGTTTTAGAAGGAGAATTTCATAAATGATGAAACAACAAAAAAACATATGTATACACACAAACACAGAGCTAGGCTAACGATATGGTTTGAATACGTGCCCCCAGGATAAAGACTTTGTAACTGAGTAAACATATTTAGAGAGAGTTTGGTGGTAAAGTTCTTAATTTTTAGTTAATTTTAAGCATTTGCTAATGGCACTAAAATATTTTTTTTTTAAGATTTATTTATTTATTTTAGGGAGAGAGAGAGAGAGCATGAGTGGGAGGGGCAGAGGGAGAGGGAGAGAGAGCTTCAAGCAGACTCAGAGCTGAGCACGGAGCCCAACGTGGGGCTCGATCTCACAACCCTGAGATCATGACCTGAGCCAAAATCAAGAGTAGGACACTTAACTGACTGAACCACCCAGGCGCCCCATTATTTCAGTATAAACTTAGGTTTTTGTGAAAATCAGATGGAAAAACAAAAGTATTAAATACGGAAATGATATGGTTTCTTTTGATTCTCTTGTTTGATGTTAATTTCTCCGTCACTTTTAAGATGTTAGAAAGTTTTACAAATGGAAACGTCCATAGAAGTCAGGAGTTCCAGCATTTATCCAGAGCACCTCCCTGTGAAACCTCTCCTACAAGAGTCTTTCTAGACTATGTATCAACACCCAGTGGCAGAAAACTCATATGTCGTATTCTGGTACCACACCTTTCTAATTGCCTGTCATTTTTCACCATATTGATTAGAAATATGACTCCTAGAAAAGCTTATCAGCTGGCCCTTATTTTGTCTTGTGCATCCTGGGAGAATGTATTCTTCGTCTTCATGTCTCAGCTCTCTGAATATTTGAAGAGGGAAACCATGAAGACTTAAGCTGAGTTCATGGAACCATTTCTTGTGTCTGAGGGTCTTACATCATCATGGTTCCCTTTCCCATCCAGGTTCTCAGCATCCCTTTTAAAAAGTAGAGCTGTTATCCAGAAATGGACAAGCTGTTTGGAATATGGTCTGACCACATTAGAGTAAAAAGGTTCACATCTTCTGCATACATTTTTCTTAACTTGAGATTGCATTCATGCTCTGGACACTGCAATTCCTTTTGTATCAGGATATAAAGTGATTTTAAAAATGGCTTCATTTTTATTAAATGTTAGACTTGAGTGTCTTCATCTTAATTGATTGTTGCACAGAATAAGCTGATGTTGCTTTGAACATTTTGTTTCCCCTGATGAATAATCATGGACTACATTGTGGTTCTTGGTAAAAGTGAGAGTGTTGGTCTTCTTGAGTCCACTGCTGTGTGTAGTCCTGAGCTTTGTGAACCCTCAGGTAAATCTCTCTTCTCCTTTATCACCAGGTCATCCCGCTCCTCCTATGTGGATGAGGACTGTGACTCGTTGGCCCTCTGTGACCCTATGCAGAGGATGAATTGTGAGGTGGACAGCCTTCCCGAGAGCTGCTTTGACAGCGGCTTGTCTACGCTGAGAGACTCCAACGGATATGACTCGGAGGTGGAATACAAGCACCAGAGGGGACTTCAGAGGTCACATGGCACACAGGAGAGCCTTGGGGGCGACGCTTCAGACATAGATGTAAGCCCCAGAAATCACTGTCTCCTGGGCTGTACCTTCGATAGAAATCTGTCACCCTGTTTGACTTGTATCTGTCATGGGAATACGACCTAAAGGTTATAAATATGAAACATAGTCAGTAGAACGTTTTTTTTTTCTCCACCAGGGTAGGGAGAAATTTCCACAGATTGCCATTTGGGGCTACTCTGTTCCGTAACAGTAATGACTATAGATTCAGCTGCCTATTTTTCTTCTCTTTAATCCATGATGTATATGTGTAATGAGAGACTTTGTTTTTTAATGGCTGACTAAAAAAACAACAACAAACAAACCAGGTTCCTGATCTAAGGGATGAAGAGACGTTTGGTGCAGATGGTGTGGCCACCATGTTAGACTGGAAACCCCAGGGGTCCGCTAGTGAGGGCAGCATCGTCAGTTCTTCAAGAAAGCCCATCTCGGCTCTGTCACCACAGGTAGGTAGTTTCAGAGTTACTTTATTCATGAGCACTGTGAATTTTCGGTGCTGTATAACTTACTAGGAAGAACACTGGCACGACCTTTGTCACCCACTGTGGCTTTTTCCCCCTAGACAGACATGGTGGACGGCGACCCTAAGTCTTCCAGCTCACAGAAGGCTTACAAGATTGTGCTCGCTGGGGATGCTGCAGTGGGGAAGTCTAGTTTCCTCATGAGACTCTGCAAGAATGAATTTCGAGGAAATACCAGTGCCACCCTGGGTATGGTTCCTTCTTCAGTCAGTAATGGGGAAATGACCTTCTTTTAGCTTGATCTTGTTTTCCTTAGAGATTAGATACACAGATACACAGGTCTCTCTGTATACATATATAACATATAGGGATATGTGTGTGTGTATGTGTGTGTGTGCCCTTGTCTATAGCATGGTCTTCTTCTGTTTTGGTGAAGACCCAACTTTAGGAAAAGAAAACCGACAAAGGACAAAGATATCCACTTAGTCAGTCAGAGCAACCAGACCAAGTTTAGAACCAGAGACGACAGATTCATTTATTCAGCAAACATTTCCTGAATTCTGCTGTGAGCCGGATACTGTTGTAGGTGCTGAGGACACACAATGAACAGAGTCAACTAAATCCCAGCCTGCAAGGAAACTTCATCCCAAAGGAGGGCAATGGGTGAAAATAAAAGAATTTGAAATTTGGAGAGAGGCAGTTTTTACTGCACCAGGGAAAGCTTTTCTGATAAGACGCCATTTGATGTTGATAAAGTGACCTTCTTGATGGCCACTTTGTCATGGTCAAGATCAAAGCCAGGTGTATGATCCCTCCCCCTCCTTTACAGCGGAATACATGAGTAAACACTCATGAGAACGGAAGAAGAAGTGTCCTGATTTCCCAAATTTGCATAATAATCAGTAAAAGGAGTTGAGGGTATGCAAATTATCATTCACATTTCTTCTTTATCTAAAGAGTTCTTATTTTGATGACTAGAAATATTAGAACAGATTAATTACCCTCTTCACAATGGGCGTCTTCGTAAATTTATGGTTCTCCATGATACCCTTCAAGATAACAAAGCTGAAAGTTCACTTTAATTTGATTCATAAAAAGACCACGGTGTTTTGTTCAGTTGCTAAAGAGCATGGCATATATACATATCTCATATGTATCCACACACAGATACGTGCACACATACACATATTAATGTGCACACAAGCACACACATGTAAACACGGAGACATACCCGAGTTCATCTAATTACACGGGCAAATAGAACATAGGTTTTCCTTTTGTCTGTAGATTAAATCCTCCCCCAAGTTAGCCACCCTGCAGATGGTGCATCTGTGCGCACATGTGTGGTCTGACTTGTAATTAGTAGTTGAAGGTCACCCTCCTTGAAGGCCACATTCCTCCCTCTCTACCTCATCAGCTTTGGCTTACCAGCTTTTGTCTTATCTACAGAGGGCTTGAGAGTAAAACCCAATGGAATTATTTACATCATGTTCCCCATGTTCTCTTGTAATTCCTTTTCAGGAGTCGATTTTCAGATGAAAACTCTCATTGTGGATGGAGAGCGAACAGTCCTGCAGCTCTGGGACACGGCGGGTCAGGAGAGGCAAGTGCTTTCCGCAGCGCAGCGGGATCGGCTTTGGTTTGCATAGACGGGCCTTGTGGCACACTTGGTGGTTTTTAATGCTCATAATCCTATAATGATAATACACTGTATAATTACGTAGTATATTAGGATTTCAGGAATGCTTGCATGTCTCCACATTCTTTCCTCCTCCATTTACCTGTCAGTTGTGTGTGGAGATCATTAGGCTTCCTCTGAGCTGCTGTTCAGTTGGGAAAAGGAGAGTGCCGTCTCTGAACAAGAGAATTTAGGTCACGTGTCAGTGTGAAGAGTACTTAGCCAAGCTCAATAAAAGATGGAAGAGGGAATCTGTTAGCTCCCCTCAGTTCAAGGGCAGAGGCCCGAACTAAACAGAAGACTCACGTCTAGTGACGTTGCCTTCTCTTGCGTTCATTGCCGATGACCGGAAGCATCAAGTATACGTTTTAATCCTGCCTCACTCTTTGGAAAGAGCATCTCTCCACTTGTTCCACTAGTGAGTATGGGTTGCAGCCCGCCTCTGTACCAGGCACTGTTCAGGCTGTGAAGATTCCACAGGGAGCAGACACAAATCCACAAAAGCTACTCACATGGAGCTTACATTCTCTTAACAGACTGAGACTTTCAACGTTTAAAAAACATTTGTGGTCAACATGGCCTTTTTTTTTTTTTTTTAAAGATTTTATTTATTTATTTGAGACAGAGAGAATGAGAGACAGAGAGCATGAGAGGCAGGAGGGTCAGAGGGAGAAGCAGACTCCCTGCCGAGCAGGGAGCCCGATGCGGGACTCGATCCCGGGACTCCGGGATCATGACCTGAGCTGAAGGCAGTCGCCCAACCAACTGAGCCACCCAGGCGCCCCCAACGTGGCCTTTTTTAAGATGCTATAAAATATTGCGGTTGGCTTCGAGTTGGGACATATATGTTGAGGTATGCTCTTCCCCTAGCGAACCGCCCCGCACCCCACAGGTATAAAGCTTCTGGCATGCTGTGGTACTCCACATTGTTAGGTCGTCTTCCACGCCACCCCCACAGTACTCCCTTCCCACTCCCCAAACCACGATGTTCTCTCTTGTGTGTCTCCTTCCCTGTGTCCCACGTGTGGGTTTGGAAGCTTGTTGCCGGGGCTGAAATTTTTAAGAAATTATGCTCTCAACGTTGTCCTGGTTATCCTTTGGGGTTTGTAGACATTCTTGGGATTGTTTGATGGAGAAACTGCTTGGCTCTCATAGATCACACCCCAAATTATTCTGTTAGCTTCCACTGAGTCATTCTAGTCGTCCACGGTAGCTCTGTCACAGTGCCAGGTTGCCATGAGATTCTTCCAGATGGGGGCTTATCTTAGAAGATGAGAAAAAAGGGAGCATAAAAGAGATGAAGAAGGGGCAGCACCTGACCAACAGACTGATTAGGACCATTATTTACATGCTTTTCTCTCTGCCAGATTCAGAAGTATCGCCAAGTCTTACTTCAGAAGAGCAGATGGTGTTCTGCTACTGTATGATGTTACGTGCGAGAAAAGCTTTCTCAATGTACGAGAATGGGTGGACATGATTGAGGTAAGACATCAAAACCAAGGAACAAAAAATTACACCGGCGTCACAGACCATCTTAGAAAATGCGATTTCTCTTCTTTGTTGAAGTGCACACCATTAGAGATCCAGGCTCGTCAGGAAGGACTGGATGTGAGAGGGGGAGTGTCTCCTGGCACTTGGCAGTATTGGTCTCTTCCTCACTAGCTGGGCGAGTTTCCACAGAGCCATGGATACCACAGAAGGGAGTTTCTGGGAATAAAACTTCCGGTTTTCTTACAGATAAAATCAGAACCCCTTATGGTATTTTAAACATGGTAACATCTGTGCTTTTTTTTTTTTTCCTTTGGTTAAATGAGATGGTGTCTTTCATCTGAGGAGCTTTCATATCCTTTGGTTTCATGGTAAATAATTTCTAAAAGTAGGAAATGATTTTGACCACAGTTAGTATGCTGCCAACGGTTAATAATTAACATAAAACTACAGTTCAAGCTGTCGTTCAGTATACTCTCTTGGAAAAAAAAAACAGTGGCTAATTTTTCAATTAAGTGTATTATCTCTAATCTTTAATAGTCATTAAACAGTGCAATGTTGGCTAAACAGAGAACTGATTGTTATATATCAGGTTAGCTTCTAGATTCTTCTGTTGGGCCTATTTCATACCGTTTAAAAAAACAGAATTAATGTTCTCTTTCTAACTAAAGAAGTGATGTGAGATGTGCATTTTGTTCTACGAAAATAGGACCTAAAATTATTATAAATATGATGGAAGTGTGTTGACATTTATGTAGCATTTTTATTTCACGAAATTTCCACATGTTATATTCATCTCTGTAACATATCTGAGGAAAGAAGTGAGAAGTGTAATGTTACTCTCACTTTTTATGAGAAACCCGAGGCAGAGAAAGTATATGGCCCTGGCTTGTGGTTATTTAGAGGGCTGGGGTTGAATGGGGCCTTGGATCTCCTGATTCAACCCTGGTTGCTGCTCTGATAGAGCACCAGAGGAAGCAGTGGGTTGAGAAAAGAAGCTTTTGGTGTCCAGAGAGGAGTTCCCAGGTGCATTTAGTGCACAGAGGAGAAGCATCTGCTCAAGGGAACAGACGGACCTCCCTGGGATAGAGCGATGAGTCCAGAGAGTAACATAATCCCCACAGACTCGTACCCACAGATATTTAAAATCCACGGCAAAACTTTTTATTGTTAAAACTTTTGTACTTAGTCTGCATTTTAAGTCCTTGGATTATGCGCAAGGCCAGGAGGCCCAAAGGCAAGGTCAGCCAGTGTTGAAATAGCCCTTAGTGACCAGCCACGGTGTGTGCCGGGACCCGTAGTTTGCCATCATTTGCTAATCACCTACACGTGGTAAGTGACCCTTTCAGCTCCGTGGATCACCTTTCACACGGTCTGAAAAGGACGAAAACTATGTTCAAGATGAATTCTTGAATTTGCCATGGGGAAAAATTAGATACCACTTGGCATTTGACTTTCACCTTCGGGAAAAATGGGCATGATAAACCTCTGCCATGGCTCAGCCTTTGTAATTTGAGGAAATTCTGTGAGGAAATTCTATACGTGGCCACTCTAAATACAGGTGGAAACTGAGAGTGTGATTGTTGGGGTAGGCTGGAGGGCTGAGGGGTAGTAGAAGGTCAGTGATGAATTAATAATTAATACACTTCGATAAAAACCACTGGGTTACACAGTCCTACAATAAAGTCGTGGGTAAAATAAAACGAAGGCCATTTACTTACCTGTTGTGAGTAATGTATTGGTTGAATACTTGGGTGAACATTGAATGGAGGAGACACTTGAGATGTGAGATCTCTTCCCGACTTACACATTGTGGAGAATTTTCGGAGAGCTTCCTTTGTGCACGTTCCAGAGCCTGCAATGCGCCCACAGTCAGGGAGCTTGCACCCGAGGAGGGGAAACATAACAAGCAACAAACAAATAAAATAAATGGAATGATAGAATAGGATAAATACTGTGGAAACAAGAAGAAGGCAGGGTAAAGGGCCTGATGGTGTGGTCAGGGCAGCCTCCCTGGAAGGTGGTGTTGGAGTCAAGACTTTAAGGAGTTGTCCGTATTTACTGGAATAACTTTGGGAAATCCTTTAGAAGCTTGGGTTCTTGGCTCACTTAAGGGAGTATATGTTGAGTGGCTTCCAAAGGTTGCCCACTTGGAACCTGGACAGGTTACCAAAGAACACAATTAATGAACACCTCAATGGACGGAACACCTAGTGTTGGAGAGCGCCCTTCATTCCCTTCCCCCCTCTGCTGTTACTGCACTCCAGTGCCCTCGGTTGGAGGATGGTCTGAAGAGAAAGGAAATCGAGTGCGGTGCCATCGTTTTTAAGGCTCATTTCTTGATCCTGGGGCAGGGGTAGCAGCGAACTGAAAGCACAGCTGGTACCCGTAGCCGCTGCGGAAGGTCACTTGCACATGCCCTGGTCAGGGCTGCTGCTGCCCTGGCCTAGGAACCAGAACCCTGTTTTTCTGGGCCAGTCAGGTTGTCATCCTCTGTTCTCTTCAGAGCCTGCGGAGGTGCGGTGTGCCCTCACTAACCCCTTCATTTTAGCAGTGGGGAAACTGAGGCAGAAACATGCAGCATTTCGCCTGATTTCAGGCCCCGTGTGGCCCGGGGACTTTGCCTAAGCTGATTTGAGAGCATTAGCCTTAGAATCGATTCCTTCGAATGATTGGTAATTGACTCCTCGTAAGAAAAATGTTGACCTTTAGGACCTTCACATTTTGCTTTTGTTGTAAACCAAATTGCAGTGAGTGTGGAACTTGCAAGCTCTGTTTTTATCCCGTGATGGCTGAGGGATTTCCTGTGTGTTTTGTACCTGAGATAATGAAGTTGGCTTGTCATCAGCACCGTTTGGAGTGAAAGTCGCAGAAAATTGTGTGGGTGCCATGGCCACGTATAATTCTGTGCTCATGCCCCTTGAGTTCATATTGGTTCGTATGGTGGCAGGGACGATGGGGAGTATTTGGACCGTGGCCCCGGCCTTTGCAAGATCTTGCTTAACCTCTCTGAATTTCAGTGGTCTCACCTGGCGATGGGAAGAAGTTTGGCTCTTTGTAGAGAGATTTTGAGGCTTGAAGATATTACCTGCAGGTCATGTGGCTCCCACGGGGCATTTGGAGAGTGGAAGCTGCTGTTGGTACGGCTGCTCTTGTCAGTGGAACTTGTTCACTATTTGATGAGCACACAATTATTTTCCCCCTGGCAGGATGCAACCCAGGAGAGTATTCCTATCATGTTGGTAGGAAACAAGGCTGATCTCCGTGATGCCGCCACAGCAGAGGAACAGAAGTGTGTCCCAGGATACTGGGGAGAAAAACTGGCCATGGTAAGGGCGAAAGAGGGTCTGTTGGGATAGACCTTAGCCGTTCATGAGCTTTGCAGTCAGCGGCCCTTCACTTCTGTCTACATTCGCTTTCAGAGGTTCTTTGGCAAACCTCCACCCTTTTTGATGGGGCTCCTGGCCTTCTTATTCAGGCAGAACTCCCAGTGCTGCCCCCCTGCACTTTATTTATTTTATTTTAAAAATTTATTTGAGAGAGAGAGAGAAAGAGCACACGTGAGCATGAATGGAGGAGTGGAGGGGCAGAGGGAGTGGGAGAAGCAGGCTCCCCACTGAGCAGGGCGCCTGACACGGGGCTTGGTCCCAGGACCTGAGCAAAGGCAGACACAACCGGCTAAGCCACCCAGGTGCCCCCACAACCCCCACCCCCGCTACACACACTTCAATGAATGTATGAATGTAAGTAATTGTACCAAGGATTAAACCCCTCATGGAGCTAAAATGATCACTTGGTCATTTTCCCCCATTGAAGAACATTGACAAGGAGCAGCCAGAATTATCCTGCCTTACTCCTCACCCTCAGCCGGCTCCTGGACTCCTCTCGTTCTGGAATCCACGTCAAGACAAAAGAATGGGTATCCCGTTTAGAAAATGTGGTTTAGTTCCAGAGGGTTACTGTGCCAAAGGGCAGTGTGCTACCTGGGTGGAAGAGAATTGGGAAACTTTTTTTTTTTTTCTCTAAGATTTATGCTTAGTTGAATAGTCTAAAATTATTTTTTGGTTATGCGCTTGTATAGAAATGAAGCTCATTTCCATCCAGTTGATTACTGGGGGCAGCGTTCATTCTCCCGTCACAACCAGTGTGTGAGACTGCTCCAGGTCCCCCTTAGGACCTGTCTTTCCCAAACAAGGCATCAGAGGTGCCGGGGGTCGGATAAGCCCACGCCATCACAGTCTGATCTGATGCCCCTGCCTCGGTGGTGCGCGTGGGCGCACGGGGAGACTGCGCTGTAGTGCGTGCACATGAACTGTAAAAAGAAGTTTCAGTCACTGTTTTAAGTTGGAAAATCTTTCTTGTTAAATTTTAGAACTATAGACCAAACATGCTAAACATCAAAGCTAAGCAGTGAGGCACAGAAGAGATTCATTCCGCACGTTTAATCCTATGCCTTTCATTGTGTGCTGGGGAAAGACTAGAGCAGGCAGTCCTTGTCTTCATATAGTTCATTTCTGGGGGAGATACGTATTAAACGTATGCAGTCCGCATGCCACATTGTCCCACACGCCCCCTTAGCACGTAATTCCCGGCCACACGCCGGGTTTATCCCCTCCTCAGGATTTTTGAGTTCCCAACGTTTGCTCACTTATGCATCTCGTGACCCCTACCCTCCTGCACCCTCGGGGGCAGTCTCCGTGTCACCCCATAACATCCTAGCCATAGAACTCAGCAGCAGCACTACCCGTTCCCACTAGAAATCCATTCATGTTCACTGTAGGATTGTTACATATTTTCTGTGGTTTCGAGGGCTCATGGGTAGAGGTCCCACTGTGGAGTCTTTTCCCCTCATTTCGTTCTCTCTCTCCATGCTCCGGAGTGGCCATGACATCCTCCCCTTACCCCCACAGGATACTGCGTCACCCACACCCAGGTCCATGGCACATGCAATTCTCCTTCCTGCAGGGACATTGTCTTGAGGCAGACACACACAAATAACTTCATCAGTTACAGTTTGGCAGGTGCAATGCAGGAAAAACACAGAGGGCTGTGAGGTTTCCTAATAGCAAGACCTAACATAACAGGGACGTGTCAGGCTTAGACAGCACTGAATCTTAACTTCAGGGGAGGATTACAGAAAAATTCAAAAGGTAGTTAGGAATCAGCCTGGAGAAGGGGGGCTGATGGGGGGAAGGGCATAATGCAGGTAATGGGAGCAGCAGGTACAAAGATCGTGAGGTCGGAGGGAATTTGGAACATTGGAGAAACAGAGGGAAGGTCAGAGTAACCGAGGCAGTGCGAGTGAGGGAGGAGGGTGGCAGGTAAAGCTAGGAGGTGGGCCGGGACTACATGGACGAGAGGCCTTGTTGGCCATGGGGAGGCATCTGAGCGTTACTTGGAGAGGAACGGGAAGCATTGAAAGGCTTGAAGCAGGAGAGTGATATCATCAGTTGTCATATACATAACCCCTGGGAGGTAGAATAATAGAGCACTAGACAGTGTCTGTTGGTTTTTAGCAACATGGAGGTTGCTGAATCTTGATAGGAAAAGATGATAGTGTGAAGGGATGCATGTTAGCTGCCGGCCCAAAGGAGACATACCTTTGATGGACATTTAATTTGTGAGTGGTTACCTTAAGCTATCATTTTTACCTCTCTCAGATTATCTGATAGAGAACCTTTGTAGCATCTGGTAGGACTGTGGGGAATAAGAACCTTAAAACATGAAATTGTGTATTGTGTTACTTTTAAGGCAAAATAAAAATCCCCTGACTAGGAGCTGTGTCTGGAATAACTCGACTCAAATTCACTATTTTTTTAAAGTATCAAAACTGTGAATCCAGTGTCTTAGCTATTAGCATATTCAACAGGAGAATGTGTTTATTTTATTTGTGGGTTGTAAAAGCTAAAATTCCAGGAGCCTTAAATAAAGGCTTCATTTAATTGTGTCTATTTCTTTTCTACAGACCTATGGGGCATTGTTCTGTGAAACCAGTGCCAAAGACGGCTCGAATATAGTGGAAGCTGTTCTCCATCTTGCTCGGTAAAGTGGTGTCTTATATTTGGAAAATGAAAACAGGATTGAATTTTCACGTAGTTGGTGCATATATCAAATTTCTGGGCTATGACACGAATATACATTGGAAAACACTGTCTCGTATTTCAGTAGTGGTTAGAGAAACAATCGAACACGGATTTTATAAAAACCGGTAGTGCTGCTTATTCACTGTGAACGTTGGCGAAGTGCCTTTTCCGCCAAACAAAGCAGGTGCATCTGAGGTGTCGTTGACATTTCTGCAAAATGTCACCGCAGAGCTAATAGTTGACTTGTATGAATCATTTCCAGGAACCAGATTTTAAACACAAGAGACTATTATGAAATTAACTGTCTATTATGACATTTTCTGGGGTAAAGGGGAAAAAAAACACAACTCAACAAAGCAAATTGTATATCACGCCAGTTGGAAGCACTTTATTAAAATAATTACTCAGGTAATTATTAAGCTCAGGCGATGGTGTTAATAATAAATAACATCTTGGGATGTAGATTAGAATGAAAATTACATCCTTGAGGAACTTGGATATAAATGGGTTTTTTAATCCTTGGAGTAAATTTGATTTTTAGGAAATAACAACATTATCTGTTAGATTTATGTCTTCTGCCTAGTTTCCTGCCACAAATGAAAAGATGATTCTTTACTGGCCTAAAGAGATTAAATATCCAAAAGAAAAAAGAAAGGAAAGAAAAAAAAAAAAGAAAATGAGCATGAACAGAATTCAGGCGATAGATCTTTAATTGCTGACAAAGCGAAGCCATAATTTTGGGTGTGTGGTTTTTTTCCTGATCATTTGTGAAATTTTACAAGAATCTTAGCTTTAGTATGACTTTTGGCCTCTTCTGCTCATATACGGTGACAAGTAGTGTTTTCAATGCTGCTTTTCTATCAGTGACTTGGTGTTTATAGTGCTTACTAGCTGCTTAGACTGGGGCCTTGGGTGAGATCCTTGCCCTCACTTGAGAAAATCAGGAAATGGACCCCAGGACTTTAAACGGCCTGCTTGACATTAGTCTGTGGCAGGGCTTGGCACACGCCTTGGGCTCAAACTCAGAGTCTTTGGACATTATCTCCTTTGATATCTGTCCAAGAGAGCCACCTGCCCCCACCACATTTTTGTGCAAAGCAAAGACAGTGCTGTGTGACCTAGAACAGGTGGAAGAAAGGTAAACATTTAAGATTCAAGGTTAATGACGTGGTTTTAGTAGGAGAATCATGGGCTCATACCACATTTGTCAAACAAGAGCCCAAGTAAAACCTTCATAAGCTGGGTGATGTAATTGACTCCGTGCATCTGTGGGTGCGAAGGGGCTGCTGGCCATTTTGGCCAAGGAAGGTTCATTCAGCAGAGGCGGGGGGAGATTCCGTGCAACACACTGAGGGTGGATTCACTGCTGAATTGTTAGGTGTTTATACTTTCTTGGGTGTTCGTACTGGTGTTTTGCTACAAGGTACCTGGGGATTCCTGGGTGGAGGTGATGTGCTTGCTGGGCTAGAGGGGTCTGGCAAGGGCCTGCAGGTCTTCAGAGCATCACTGGGCCCGAAGCTGAACCGGAGCAGGCAGGGAGAAGGACACTCTAGCTTTGGCAGTGGGGTGCTGGCCTGCTGCTCCAGCCCCGCAGAAAAGGACGCTGCACGCCAGGCCCCCTGCGAGGCTGTTGCCTCCTACCCTGCTTAATGGAGGACTGTGGTGTCAGGAGGCTCAAAGTGCGATCTTAAATCGCCTCCCCGAACAGCTGTGGAGTCGGTCAAGTCCCTGCCTCCCTCTCGGCATCTCTAATGTGTAAAATGAGGGAGGGGGCTGGAGAAAGCGACCCCCAAGGTCCTCTCTAGCTCTGCCAGTCTGTGGTTCTACATAGAACCGCCGGTACCCCACGGAATACCGGTCGCTATTTAATGCTGAATTGTCTTTGTGGGGTCATATTAAAGTTAAATGACTCCAGATTGCCATGGTCACACCCAGAGTGCCGAATTGATTCTCTTTATTGTATCATAAAAGTGGGAGAGGCTGTGAGCCGCCTGCGCTTTCTCCCCACCTGCTCCTGCCCCGCGCCCTGTTTTCAGTGCAGCTCGCACACAGCCTTGTGCTTCTTTACTCACCACACCTGTGTGCAGAGGCCTTTTGGTCACGAGCTCACTCTTTGGGAACCACTCATCAAGGAGTTATTTTATCGTTGTTATTGCATGATGGCCTGGTGTGAGGTCTCTGGTTTTGTCCCATTAGCGATGTGTTAAATAGGAAAATTATAAATAAAGCAAATATTAAAAAATTTAATTTGCTTTATATCCTGCCTTCAGATTTGCTTGTTAAAGTGCCTAAGTCTTACATGGAAATGGTAGAGTTGCCGCAGGTGAAAAAGTTTTACATCCTGGGGCTCCTGGGTGGCTCAGTTGGTTAAGCATCTGCCTTTGGCTTAGGTCATGATCCCAGGGTCCTGGGATCGAGCCCCGTGTCGGACTCTCTGCTCAGTGGAGGGGTGGGGGGGTCTGCTTCTCCCTCTCCCTACTGCTCACGCACTCTCTCTCTTGCTATCTCTTTCTCTCTCTCAAATAAATAAATAAAATACTAAAAAAAAAGTTTTACATCCTTTAGAAAGTTATGTATAATGTAAAACATGTTACGTTCTCGATTTAGATCTCGTAAGGCAATTCCCATCACGGGCACCTTTCACGCCGTGTCATGTCATAAAATGTGAACTAGACGAGTTTATGGCTTTACACTGTCGAAACAGAATTCTGTTTCGAAGGGAGGCCATGAATGTTTGGTTAACACCCGAAACTAGAAACTACAAGTACTACTTTTTCTGGAAACCTCTCAATCCCAAGAAAACTGTTTTCTAGAAATGCAATTTCCCCATAATGCTGACAGGACATTTATCACAATCATTGTCCATTGGCAAGTGAATTTGCCGTCACCAGAACCACGAGCTTTACACATTTTGCAGATTCAACTTCCAAAGGCATTTAATTGATTAATGGCCTGAGATTTGAAAACAAAACAAAACAAAAAAAGCTCAGGTTGATGTATGTATCTGTTCAGCTCAGGAGCTGAGCCTGTTGGGATCCCATAAATCTACCCGTGAGACAGAGTCACCTAACATGCAGTTGTCAAGCATGTGGTAGTTTTTGGTGAGAAAGTCCAGTATTCCCAGCCTTAAACCTGTTGTAGGTGTTTGGAATATCTGTCTGATTTCCGTGAAGTGGGAGGGACATGCCTGCACTTATGGTGGATTAAAGAAACGAAAGGCCAGATGAACAACGTGGGTACATACTTTTCCTCCTTAATATTTGCTTTCAGGTTCAATAAAATGTCTGCATTATTGTGAGCACTCAGCCCGTGGAGGCCACATACATGGTTCAGTAGAGATACCGAGGAAATGAGTATTTGCAGGCCATGCAATTTAATGAGAGGAAAAAGAAAAGAGAAAACATTTGACCAGGCAGCCAGATGATTGTAGCTTATAGAGGCCATTAGACCACCCAGAAGGGAGAGATATGGGTTGTCTTGTGAAGGTGCTATGATTATTATACCCATTGTACAGATAAGAAAGTGGAGGAGTAGAATGCTAATCAACCTGCTCAAAGTGACACAGCTGCTCAGTGGCAACATTGGGACTTGTCGCTGCCACTCTGGAGCATCAGCTTGCTGCTTCAGTGTTGGCAATCTCAGGATTGCATTCCACATTCTCTTCTTCTTTACTCTCTCTCTGCCTACTGTCTTCTACCCCCAGGGTTTCTAGAACTGTCTCTAGCTGGTGACTTCTCCAATTTCTGTATTTTTAACCTCCACCTCTTTTTAAAATTTCATAACCACATCCCCACCCATCAACAAGAGGGAATCCCAAAGGCTTGACTGTATCCAGCATGTCCAAACCCTCACAGTCTGGCCTCACCTGCCTTTCTGGTTGCATCTCTTATCTTGCTTCCCAAAGGAATGATATCTGTAGACAGAGCAAACGTTATTTCTAGTTGTGGCCAAGCTCTTTTATGTCTCCTTGCTTTTATGCAGGCTGTTCGTTGCACCTGGAATCTCTTTCCTCATTAAGTGAAGGTCAATTCCTGTTCTTTCAAGAGGTCCCTCCAGTGTCAAAGTGTCCATGAGGCTCCATCTCCACAAAGCCTTCCTTCCCTGCGGGCCAGCACGGCTGTGGTGTACCCTTTGTATTCATGCACCATTCATTCACCGTGCAAGGGACCTTGTAATGATTTGTTTAGCCTTTGTCTCTCCCTCAACGCTCACTAAGAGAGGGTCCCAGAGTTTGGCATAAATTGGGCATTTATTGAATGACCAAATGTCTGAGATGATGCAGTTAGAAGTTGTTATTAGTTTTTTGTTGTTGCTGTAACAAATTCCCACAAACATAGTCTCTTAAGCAATGCACATGTATCACGTTCCAGTTCTGGAGGTCAGGAGTCTGAAATGAGTCTTACGGAGTGTTCTAGGTTGGATTGTGTATCTTCCTTCTTTTCCTGAGTCTTTGTTTCCTCATCTGTGAAGTGAGGATAATAATGCTCACCTGTCACCTGTCAGGGTTGTGTGTGTGTTTATGTTGTGTGATTGTTTATGTGTATTAAATAAGGAAAATGTGAAAATGTATAGTACAGCATTTATTAGCTCGCCTTCAGCAAGAATTAATTCCTCTTTTTTTTCTTCTGCTGAGATGTCTTCTTTCCAACTCATAGTATAGTGGTTTTCAAAAGTTAGCACATATCAACACCATCTGGAGTCGTGCTGACCAATTTGGTAGCCACAAGCCACAAGAAGTGTGGCGAACCCAAATCAAGATGTGTTGTAGGTATAGATTTTGAAAACAGTATAAAAATCATAAAATACTTCATTATTTTTATTGATAACATGCTAAAATGATATATTTGTTATACTGAGTTAAAATATGTTAATAAAATTAAATTTACCTGTTTCTTTTTACATTTTTAAATGTGGCTACTAAAAAATTTAAGATCACATATGTGGATTACATTATATTTCCATTGAACCACGTTGCTGTACTCGGAATATGCCAGTTCTTAGTAGTTTCAGGTATCTGCCCCTCTGTAACAAACTAAAACGTGGTTGCCTAAAACAACTACCACTTTTTAATTTCTTGAAATTACCAGAATGTGCTGGATCTCAGTTGGAAGGTCCCTCGACTGCTTTTGCTTGGGGTGTCTTGTGCATTTTCAGCCAGATGGCCGTGGGGCTAAGGCTCCGGCTGGGCGTCTGCCACCAGGGTCCTAGTCCTTCTGGCCGCTCGTCCCCAGGGCCACTCTGTGGCCCTCTCCACTGAGGAGCCCTGGCAGCTGAGAGCAGCTTTAACACCTGGCTTGGAGTCCTAGCCCGCCAGTTCCTCTGCATTCTGTGGATCTAAGCAGTCGCAGACAGAGTCAGTACTGTGGAGGGAGAGCCCATGGTGGGGGCTCCCTAGTCTTGATGGGGGGGCCCCGGGCACTGATGGGGAAGGTGGGATTGTTTGGGGGCCTCTTGGGAATGAGCTGTCACAGTCAAGATTGCCATTCAGGGTCTTGTCTAAGGTGGGACTTCAGGGTCTGCTTGTTTCACGGGCATCCCTGGGAATACACTTGGAAGGATACTATCCCTAGGAGGTCTTCACAAGATCTTAGAGAACTTTTGCCATTGTAGCCTCTAGCTGTTAATTCTAAAAGAAATTTAGGAAGAGGCAAAAGGAAGATTTTTTCCCCCTGGATTTTAACCATTCATCATTGTCTTCATGATCTTGTATAATTAAAGAGTGGTTTTAAAGTCATCATTGCTTTTGTTAAGGTCAGCAAGCGCTAGTCGGGGATGGAAGCCGGGTCCCAGAGTGCTAAGGAGTGCGCTGTGCGTGTGGCAGCCTGGAAAGCATGTGAAACTGCAGGAGAGAGCAACAGTAGGTCGTGTGTGTGCGTGTGTGCACGCACCTGTGTACACGTGTCTCGTGTGCGCCTGCCTTGTGCGTGGTGAGCGTGGCCTGGTGCTCAGAGTGCAGGCGTGGGTCCAGGCCCAGCTCTGCGGCTCTCCGGTAACCAAAGGGAAACTGCTTAACCCTTTTTTTTTTTTTTTTTTGCCTTTGCTTCCTGACATATAAAATGGGGCCCAACAAATTCACATGGTCCTTGTGAGGATTAAGACAGTCAATACCTACAAAGCATTTAGAACAATGTCTGGATGACATACAGCAAGTGCTCAGCAGTGTTGTTTTAATTTTACAGAACCATTAGTGGTTTAGTTTTGTACCTCAGTAATTCATTTTCTCTCTGTCTCTCTCTCCCTCCCTCCCCTCCCCCGCCCCCCAGGGAAGTGAAAAAAAGGACTGATGAAGATGACAGCAAATCCGTTACCAATCTGACCGGGACCAGTTCCAAAAAGTCAACCCAGATGAAGAACTGTTGCAATAGTTAAATCCCGAACATCCCTGGCCTGTCAGGTCTTCAGTCCCAGAGTACTGAGTGTCTGTGACTTGTTTGTTTCTCGCAGAGGGGTGCATCCTCCAGACACAGCCAGGTGGAAAGTTGCAGTGTGGGAATCTGAACTGTGCTCTTAGATCCTTCTGGAGCCCCGGCTCTTTGCTCTTTTTCAGTGAATGATTGAGGCCCCCTGGTTAAAAGTACTTGTCTTGTCCTTGCAGAGTCTCAAAAGATAACGTGTAAAAAAATGTTAAAAAATCATATGCTCAGGGGCACCTGGGTGGCTCGGTCGTTGGGCGTCTGCCTTCGGCTCAGGTCACGATCCCAGGGTCCTGGGATCGAGCCCTGCATCGGGCTCCCCGCTCAGCGGGAGGCCTGCTTCTCCCTCTCCCACTCCCCCTGCTTGTGTTCCCTCTCTTACTGTCTCTCTGTCAAGTGAATAAATAAAAATCTAAAAAAAAAAAAAATACATGCTCAGATCGAAGCTGTAGAAGAAACTCCCAGACAAAGATCCACATGGTAGCTGACTTTGTAGATAACCTAGAACATTTTTTTTCAAATATTTGATACTAGAATACTAGTAAAAGGGGATTATCATCCTAGCTTTGCTGTTAACTAGCCTGTAGTCTCAGACCTGTTAGCAGCCCACGATAGATCTGTTTCCTCATCTGCAAAACAAGCAGCTTGGCCTTGCAGGCCTTGGCCCCTCAGATTTGGTGCACTGTACGGAGTGGGAAGGAGACCATGATGGCTCACAGTTAATAAGGACTCTGGTTAGTCATACTTTTTAAATATTGGGGTATTGATTTTTCTCATTTCTGAAACAACAGAATTTAATTGAGAAAAAAAAATGGTAATGTTGTAGGCTCCAGTGGAGACAGAAAAATCTATTTTTTTATATACAAAGGAAGAAATATTTGTGTGACAAAAAGAAAAAAAAACAAGGTCTGACATCTCAACAAAGTCCATGGTTTAAATTCCATGTTAAAAATTCTAATGAAAACATAGGAGGCTACATACTAGTAAAAGTACAATGCCCAGGAAAGTTGTCACTCTTCACTTAAAAATATATACCAGCAAGTCATGGCCATGGGCTGGGGAAAGGCAGGAGCCGGAGTGACGGCTAATGGTGATGTGGTTTCTTTGGGGGGATGAGAATGTTCTGGAATTATACTGTGATAATGGTTGCATAACTTTGTAAATACATGAAATAACACTGAATTGTTAAAAGGGTGAAGTTTATGGTATGTGAATTATATCATTAAAAAAAACCCAACACTACCACTTTAACATTTTGCCCAGTGAAAATGTGCATGTTTGCTTCAGACCTTCCCATCACTTACAAGCATAATCTCCAATATGGTGCAAATCCCTGAACTCCATAGTGGCCAGCATTCACTTCCTGAAATAATGAACAGTGAAAGAAATGTTATGTATGGTTTTGGAAACTCCTCTCTTCACAAGAGGCATCGTCCTTAGGAATGGGAAGTCAGAATCCTTTGTTTAATATGACTAGTGACTCCTCCCCACCAGCAGCGTGGTGGGTCTTGCTCTCCTTCTAGAACCTGCAGTGCATCCAGTCTTCTCCATTGAAATGTCTCTAACAGCTGAAGGAGTCAACACCTGACCCTAGAGAAGCCTGGTTTTTGGTTTTTGGCTTTTGGTTGTCTGTGGCCTTGAACCAGTTAAGTTATCCCCAACCAGAGATTTGAACTTACCTTGGTTCACATAGGTCCAGGTTCCAAGTAGTCTGCTGAAAAAACCTTAAATAATAACTTATTTATTGTATTATATAAGCTAATAACATTCCTTTTTGTTGAATTAAAACAACTCCATGGAGCTGTTTTTCTCCTGTTTATGATTTTTATGATCAAATCTTTAGTTCCCTAGCTTCATTTTTTTTTTTTTAAAGTGAAAACTGACTGGATATGTTACACACCGAGATTATAAAGAGCCACAACATGCTTGAGTTTGTAAAAGCATGCCTTTTCTCGGTTGACATCTAGTTTTTTTACTGGAAAGTTTGTTCTATCCCTGGCGACTCTACCATGCTGTTTAACAGCTTTGGTCACAGAAAAAGAAGTTTGCATTTTTGACCAGAAAGAGCCCCTCGCTGGTGGAATATTGTCAAAGTGAATGGGGGAGGATGTGGTTATTTCTGTGCCATCGTGAGATGCACATTTGGCCACGGCTGGTTGCCTCTATGGCATCTTTGGAACCCGGGTTAGAAAGGATCTATGTGTTGCCATATGGGACACTTGTTCAGGTGTTTGGTGTACTTGCACAAAACTGTGTTTGTATAAGTGTTACTGTGTGGCCTTTATTTATTTCCCCCCAAAGTGTCTCTCTATATTTGTCTGACAGTTTGTACATAGAGTATATCTTTGATACAGAAGTATTACCTTGGCTGTTGCCTCCAGCTTGTATGGCTAGTTTACACCCACACTGATTTGGACAGAGTTTGCATGGGTGCCTTTGATAGACAAGGCAATCATCTTTATTCGAACCTGGAAAAGTATTTTGGCAACAAAATCCAGATCAGAGACTTAGAGCTCTGGTGAGCAGTCTTCTTTGAAGAGAAGTTACTTAAAAGCTCTTTCAGCTGCACTGGTGGGAAATCATCATTATCACCAACATTTCATTTCAGGAAGATGTTCTCAAAGTGTATTTTTGATAAGAAAAAAAAATTAATGTTTTTAACCTAGACTTAATGTGACACATTCACATAGTCCTGTGCAACTAACTCATCTTGACTCATTTTTTCCTTTGAGGGCTTTTAAAATCACAATTATACAGTGCTCCTTTTTTTTTTTTTAATGTATCCTGACACATTGGATAATATTTTCATTTCATCATGGAAAAGAATGTTGGATAAGGAGACATTTTTCACTGTTAACTTTTAGCCTCATGCATTTTCATAATTTATTTTTTCTACTTGCTGCTTTATATGACATATGTGACATTTGATTATTTAATACCAAATGTGATTTGCATAAACCCAAGTCACACAACCCTCTTGCTGAAGATAAAATTGAGGTTAAAAGATAAAGATTTATTTTCATATTTGTACAGTGATCGGCTTCAGAGTGAAGGCTTTTATTGTATATATGTGTAAGAAATTTCATATGTATAAAGTAGGCCTCTGAGTATTGAATAATTGTTTCATGATTTTGATTTATATGGTTTACATTTTCATAGTGTCAGCCATATTTCGTTTATACTGTTTATTTCTCTTCAAACCATTAATAATTATACCATAAAGTGTAATTTTATAGCAATGCAAATGTCTAAGGAACTACAAATATTTTCTGCATTGTAAATTCAATAAAGCACGCTTCCTTTGGCCTTTGGGGTGTTTCCTTCAGCTTTACTGCAGGCATCCCTGAAGTAACTTTAATTCTAGGATGTGCCTGGATGAAGCCATGCCTCTAAAACACTTGTCTTCTCTGGCCTGGGCAGCTGGCTGGCTGGAGAAAAGAATGAATATGTGGTGTTTGGTGCTGTGGCCCAGCCATGTCCTCTTGGCCAGCAGGGCATCAGGTCGACGAGCTTGGGGTGTGACAGCTAGAAACAGTGAGGCTTTTGTAGAAAAATTTCAGGACGTGCCTTGGCCATCCTCATGACCTCAGAGGTTAGTCCCTTTCTCTGGGACACCCATTCTACTCCTTCCATCCCCCACACTGCCCAGCCAACTCCTGCTCCTCCTCCTATTTTAGCTGAAACTTCACTTCCTTCAGGAAGTCTTCCCTCTCAGCCTCTAAACTAGGATGAGGCTGCATGCTCTCACTTGCATAGGACCCTTTTTAACTGAGCAGCAGCATTATTGCCCTTGTACTTGTTGAACTAGACACATGCCCCGAGCCCTGAGCCCTTTGTCCGCTGCTGCCTCCCTTCTGCTGTATGCAGTGCTAAAATGGCTAAGCAAATAATTAACTTTAAATAAGACAGGCTTTGCAAAGAGTGTCTGCAGACACGCACAGATGCACATACGTAGTAGTCATGGATGGGGTAATAAGAGGCAGCATATTTTAATGGCCACAGGTCTGGTCTCTGCAGCCAGCCTGCCTGGGTATGAACCCAGCCTCATACTCCTACTAATGGGTTAACAGTGAACAAGTGCCTTACCCTCTGTGTACCCCTGGGGCTTCTTTGATAAAATAGGGATAAAAGTACCAATCTCATGGGTTGCTTATGAGAACTAAATGAGTTAATGGATATAAAAGGTTTGGAATAGTACCTGGCACTTTGATCACCCTCAATTCAAAAAAAAGATGTTTTGGGGGCACCAGAGTGGCTCAGTGGGTTAAGCATCTGCTTTCAGCTCAGGTCATGATCCCAGGGTCCTGGAATGAGCCCCGCGTCTGGCTCCCTGCTCAGCAGGGAGTCTGCTGCTCCTTCTGCCCCTCCTCCCACTCATCCTCTTATTATCTATCTCAAATAAGTAAATAAAATCTTTCCTTATTTTTTATTTAAAGATGTTTTAAAGCACCATTGATTGCATTGGTTTTGTTCGGGACCCTAGGAACTGCCATCAATGAGTAGCAGAAATTTACCAGATTACTTGGGGCATGGGGCATTATAGAGGATTCACTTTGACATAAGTTCATTGACAACTTCCCATATATATTCTTGGTATTTCGATGGACATGAAGTTGGGTATCACATCAGATAGGATATTGTGTAGATGGATTGAAAGAGGAGGAAATCATTGAGGGAAAAATGAAGGTCTGAAAGTTAAAATGGAAAATTGTGGAGTCCTTACAGGTGTTGGACCTCCATTTCTTAAGGTCTAATTGGATCAAGTATTGAAGGGATGGAGGAAACACCAGAGATCTGATTGAGAGTGTCAATCTAAATGACAGTAGCCATGGTGGTGGGTGATGGGGCTCTTGAACTAAATAGAAAGTAACCTTTATGTTTATACCATGACAGGTAGCCTGTTGAGAAGGATCTCTGGTGGATATATCCAACCATCCACAAGATGGTGATTCATTCCCAGGAAAGCATATTATTTTGCAAGCTTTGAAGTAAAAATAACATCTTTTTTTTCCAGATCTAAATGTTAAGATATGTTTTCATAGCCGAAAATGGAAAGCAGGCAAAAATGCCTCAACTCAAAATTGCAGGGTAAGGTGAATTTTCAAATGCAAAATTCTATAAATAGTTACCCAATTTCCTTTATTTTTTTCTACATCTGTGTATTGAGTTTATTTATGAATTTATATTTCTTAAATTTCAGTCGAATAGGGATTTAGTTGTAAGGTCCTTTAACTTGTGACCTCTCAGGCTGGCA